CATAAAGAAACCAACACAGAAGCCTTGCACATGATTAATATATGGATCTAGATTAAAGGCTTCCTAGCCAAGTTAAGAACACAAACAATGGTTGAGAAGATAGCCAACTGATTTGGTTCTCTAATATGGTTTGATAATAGCACAAGAAAAATGTGGGATGACTACATGCGTCTTTAGGTGAGTTTATCCATCAATAATCCACTAAAGAAAGGATCAAGCTCAATGTTAAAGGGAAGCTCGTAGAGTACCTGGTCAAATATGAGAAACTCTCGATGTTATGCTACTCTTGTGGTAGAATAAGACATCTTAAGATGAGGTGCCCTACCCCACCACAACTAGAGGTTGATCCCTTCGGCATGGAATTGAGAGCAAGTGCACCAGGATCTAGTAACTGGTTATCCTACACTGCAAAAAAGAGGATGCTAATTTATGGGCTTTCTTGAGAAAGAAGTTTGACATGGAAAGTATCGGTCCAAATTCTGATGTAAAGATGGCACCCTCTGAGGAGGGTAAAGAAAGAAAAGATAATGTGTAGAACACATGTAGAAAAGATCCCTTTAGCATATCAGTTACAACATATTATAACAGAGGGATCAATGCCCCAACATACTAAGTTGCAAAAGAAAAGAAAGGCAAACAATAATACAGTTCCCCTAAGAAAGTCAAGAGTAGGTGGAGCATTACAACATTTTTGTAATGGGTTTCGAAGAAGCTACACAAGTGAGGAAAAAAAATAATAAGGTGTGGCGGAGGCACTTGAGTAGACACAGGATCACCCAATTCAATGAGCATATTGAGATACAATTTTCGGGGACTCGGGAATTATATGTTTTCAATGTCTGGATAATGGAATAATCGCAGGTCCTAAATAGAGGGGAAACCTGATAGGCAAGAATCTACGTACAATGTCGTCTTAACAGTCATATATAGTAAAAAAAATGTCTTCTGATTTCTCACATGCGAGATCAGGGCGTTATTAAATATTGATATTGTGTGGAAGTTTGGATATTGAAGCCGGAATAGTTCGATTCTTGTGATGGTGGACTTGGATATGAGAGACATCACAAATGAACCTTTCCCAAGTGCTTCATGATTTCAGTCAACCAGAGTTCTTCTCTGGTTGGATGTTAGCAAAAGCAGAACATGAACTTAGTATATTCAATATGTTAATTGGGAAAAACTAATTACTAGGGAAATCAATAATGAGACGACCCTCGCAGCTGTGACCAGTTGGCCGACGAAAGAATGTCTTATCGTTGGGAAGAAAGCCATTGTTGCCTTGTTGGCATGCTTTCCAAAGGATTTGGCCAGACATCAACACCTCATGAGGCCAGTAGGCGACTTCACTGAGCAGCGTTAGAAGATGAGCGAAGAGAGATGGAGAGACAGAGGGAGTAACAATGTTGGTCCAAAGTATAAAAGAAAAAAAATAAATGAATTACATGTTCAACCTTCCTTTTCTCCCTTTTCACCCCTCTATACCCCAAAGTCAAAAGTCCCCTAAAATGGACCATTAAAGAACAAAGTTTCATCAAGTCCTGTTCACAAAAACTCTACTATAAAAGCGGAAATCATCATCAAGGAAATTGGAAAGACCCACCGATTTGATCTAGACCAGCAGGGGGGTTTATCGCAACCCACAACAAGGAAATGGAAATCAGTCCCAACCACACGAACACGATAGTAGGAGTCTTCCCGCGACATCCCATCAAACATTGGAAATGTGCAGAGATGGACCAACACCCAGAAGCTGAAAAATGTACCTCCAACAAGATTGTTCCACTGTGACACCGCACTGTAGATCATCCTTGAGAATCCCGCTACAATTGCCATGATGTTCACTATGATAATCACATAGGGAGGGATCATCAACGACGTCCACATGATCAGGTACATATAAGCATACTCGTCGTCCTCATCTGCTCCCAATTTGGAGGTCAGTGTAAAAGATATCTCAATTCCGGCCAGCATTGCTCAGCCCCTGCCAAACAACAACGAGATCGACTTTGGTCCCACTAATTTACCAAAATTGCTCGTCCTCCACCATTCCTCAAAGCCCAATTGATTTCCAGAACTGCCAACATGGTCAAAGTTAGGGTGATGACCAAGGGGTCGCTGAGGAAGTTAACATCGAGCGAATTAATGATGAACTTATTGGTGAAGAGGGAGAGTGAGGGAAGGAAGCAGTACACAATCAGGAAGATGGACATGGAAGGGTAGATTCCAACATTGAGGTAAGTGATCCGCTGGAGGAATTTAGTTGGCGCTCGACGAGAACGAGAGAAGAAGATCTCCAACGATCTCGTCGCCCATCAGAGCACCTGGTGAAGGTGGCCTGTGACTTTGATTAGAGCTATGCCGCGAAAAGCGTCGCGTTTCGTCACGTAGAAGACTGATCGCCACCCTTTCTCGTGCATACTGAATCCGGTGATCATGTCCTCTGATACTAAGCTGTAGATTGACCCGACATTGACCCCCCCCCCCCACCATGTTTTGTCCTTGTACCATCAAGAGATTACATTGACGGCCTCGACGATTGTCCCTGGGGCCAGTGACAGTGGTGGAGCTATGAGGGCACCTGGAGGACATCCGTTTTTTATGGATGGATGATCAACGAGAGGTAGGCCTTGATACGTAATGATGCGAATCGAATCGATGAGCATGCTCAAATTCACAAACTTCTTCTCGATTAAAGCGATGTTCATCAATTCGTCGTCCATGTCTTCCATACCATAAGAAGACTGGCTCGATTGGTCAGGAGCAGAGTTGAAGTTTGGGGCATAGTTGGCAGGGCAAACTTCTTAGTACTCTTCGTCATATACTTTTCCTCCTCCGGTGGATAGAACCCATAGAGTGCGGTCTGTCGGAACATACAAACCTGTGCCGACGTACATAGGGACTCTGGATGGAGATCATGACGCTATGTAATATTGATGTTGTGTGGAAGTTTGGACATTGAAGTCGGAACTGTCCAATTCTTGCGATGGTGGACCTGGATATGAGAGACATCACGACTGAACCTTTTCCAAGTGCTTCATGATTTCCAGTCAATTAGAATTCCTCACTGGTGGGATGTTAGCAAAAGTAGAACATGAACTTAGTATATTCTATATGTTAATTGGTGAAAACTAATTACTAGAGAAATCAATAATAAGACGGCCATGGTAGCTGCGACCAGTTGGCTGACGGAAGAATGTCTCACTGTTGGGAAGAAAGCCATGGTTACCTTGTTCGCACGATTTCCGAAGGATTTGGTCAGACATTGAAACCTCACGAGGCAAGCAGGAGACTTCACTAAGCACTATTGGAAGATGAGCGAAGAGAGAGTGAGAGACAGAGGAGTAACAGTGTTGATCCAAAGTATAAAAGAAAAAACAAATGAATTACATGTTCAACCTTTTGTTTCCACCCTTTTCACCCCTCTATGCCCCAAATTAAAAAGTCCCCTAAATTGGACCATTAAAGAACAAAAAAGTCATCCAGTCCTGTTCACAAAAACTCTAATATAAAAGCGATAATCATCATCAAGGCAATTGGAAAGACCCACCGATTTGCTCTTGGCTACCAGGCGGGTTTATCGCAACCCACAACAAGGAAATGCAAATGGAAATCAGTCCGAACCACACGAACATGATAGTAGGAGTCTTCCCACGACGTCCCATCAACCCTTTCGCAAACTGGTAGAGATGGACCAACAACCAAAAGCTAAAAAATGCTCCTCCAACCAGATTGTTCCACTGTAGCACCACACTGTATATCGTCCTTGAGAATCCCACTGCAATTGCCACGATGTTCACTATGATAATCACACAGGGGGGATCATCAACGACGTCCACTTGATCATGTACAGATTTACATACTCGTCATCCTCATTTGCTGCCAATTTGGATATCAATGTAAAAGAGATATCATTTCCTGCCACCACTTTCTAAAGCTCCTGTCAAATAGTCGCGAGATGGGCGCTGGTCTAACCAATTAACCAGAATTGCTTGTTACTCCACCATTCCTCCAAGACCATTTGATTCTCAGAACTGCATGGTCAGAGTTATGGTGATGACCAAGAGGTAGATGAGGAAGTTGACATCAAGCGAATTGATGATGAACTTGTTGGTGAAGAGGGAAAGTGCGGGAAGGAAGCAGTACACAATCAGGAAGATGTGCATGAAAGGGTAGATCCGACATTGAGATAATCGATCCGCTGGAGGAATTTGAGGTGGCGCCCGGCGAGCAAGGCGTCATTACGGGAGAAAAAGATATCCAACAATCCCATCGCCCATTGGAGCACCTGGTGAAGGCAGTCTGTGAGTTTGATCGGAGTGGTACCGCAGAAAGCATCGCGTTTCGTAACGCAGTAGACCGATCGCCACCCTCTCTTGTGCATACTGAATCCGGTGATCATGTCCTCTGATACTGAGTCGTAGATCCACCCGACATTGACCCCCACTCTGTTTTGTCCTCGTACCAGCAAGAGATAACATTGGCGGCCTCAACAATTGTCCCTGGCGTCAGCGGCGGCCATGGATCTAGGAGGGCACCTGGAGGACATCCATTTTTTGTGGATGGATGTTCAGCGAGAGGCAGGCCTTAGCAACGCGAATCGAGTCAACAAGCATGCTCGAATTCCCAAACTTCTTTGCTATCAGAGCGATGTTCATCGATTCGTCGTCCATGTCCTCCATACCATAAGAAGACTGGCTTGAATGGTCAGGAGAAGAGTCGAAAGTTGGGGCAGAGTTGGTGGGGAAAGACTTCTTACTACTCATCTTCCCATACTTTTCCTCCTCCGGCGGATCGAACCCATAGAGCCATGGATTGTGCCATGGGGCAGAGTCAGAACATACAACCTATGCCGACATACATAGGGCCATGGATTCCAACTAGAGCTCGGATGTTGACATAAAAAAAGATTTTGCTTTGGTTCACGTATTGATTTGATGGGTCGATCCCATTGAATCGTTGAAGGAACTGAACATAGGACAAGCGATCACAACCGTCTTCCATCATGAAGCACATTCCTTCACGGATTGCTTAGGAATTGTAAATGTAGTGGTCGCAATCGAGGTTGAGGATGAAGGGGCAAAGACATTATCATGGAGGCTCAAACCAGAACGTTCATTGCCCTGCCTTTTGTTGTGGTCATATCCAGAGCATTTCTCGCAGGAGACGTAGACTAGCATTGGAAGCCGCATGCCCATGTCGGATAGGTCCATTGAGTTGCCATCGGAGCCCAATCCTTTCATTGGATTGTTGTTTGCCGGCAACAACATTACCTGAATAATACTGGCATGGTCAATGTGGGTGTACTCCGGCGCCGACATGGTCCAAGTCTTAGTCCAATGAGTCCTATCAGCCATCCAAGTCGCTTTGTTGACCTTAATCTACTCAAAATTCTCGTCATCTCCCATCTCCTTAACCTCTTTCATCACCTTATTCTCCTCGTGCATATTATACGCATCGGAATGACGTCGTATCTATTTTGGCAAACCATTGATGTACACCTTAACTCATCATACTACCTCTTGACCCGTCATCGATCCCGGACAAAATCGGCACATAAAAATTCTTGTTCGGGTTGCTTTTCATATTGAAATAAGACTCTAGATTTCTCGGCTCGACGTTGTGCTTGCGGCAGAAGGGGACCCACAGCTGGGCGAAGCTGGCGACCTCCGCTATGGCCTCAAAAGTAAGGAGCGTGTCGCCACCATCGGAGATGTAATAGGAAAGCTTCTCGATAGGGTAGTCCGCGATGAGGATGGAGTGGATCGTGTTTGTGGTGGTTAGCATGGGTTCTTTCTCTAGGTCAACGATGGAGAAAAAGATGTCAACCCAAGGGAGATCGGATTTTCCGATGGGATTGGTGGGAGACAGGGTTTTGAATTTTTCCTTGAGGCCTTGGAGGTCGACCACGTATTTGACTGGACAAAGTTTTGGGAGTAGGTCGAGCAACCATGAGAAGGAGAACCAGAGCTTGCAGAGTCCTGTCATCCTCCATAGCCAGATTGCGTCCTTGCTTAGGTTTGTTACCCTCCATTCGTTGAACATTGCAAGTGCTACCATCCGAATTATTATCAACAACCGGTATGGACCCAAAATCGTGGCCGCAACATGGACGGTGCAGGTGAGAGGCTTCTGCTGCTTATCAAAGAGCAAATTTGGATAACCTCCAACGCCGCCATCCTCATTGTTGCCATCACTCAACCATGCCACCTTCCTGTACCTGTAATCCTTCTTCGATCATCGAACAAGAAATCCGAATCCAACAAATCAAACATCCCCAGATTCTTCATCATTGTCAGCATCCTATCCAAATGAGCCGACCATTAATCCCCGCCCCAATAATTGATCTTGCAGTCGGGGCAAACCCTTTCCACAACCATGAAGCAGTCGCTGCTGATGTTGAACACATAATCGCACTAGTAAACTTCTGCCTCACAATCGTCTATCATAGCCGTCGCGTTGCACCGAGGACCTAACACCGATTGTCGCCACCACCGAAGACGGTGACGGAGGAGGGGAGTGGTGGTCATGACGCCAAAATTATGGCGGCTGTACATTGAATTGGACATGTTAGTTGAAGGGTTAAGGTTGATCGGGACGAAAGGAGGGGAAGACTGGGCAGAGTTCATCGAAATCTCTATGGGCTGATTGTCGGGAGTGGGAGGGATGTAAATAGTGTAGGCCGCGAACTCCATGTCGTTGTCGATGTCGAAGTCGTGAGAGTTGCTGACCTGGTGGAACGCTGGGGAGGAATCGATCGCGGGCAAGTTGTTGTTCGCCATTGTTACCTCAATTTCGAGGAAGTTTGGGTGAATATGGAGAGGAAGAGGGAAAATGGAGGAAAGAAAGATTATGGAGGTGGTTGAATTTATTTTTTTTGTCATAGAAGAGCAAAACAGCATCGGTGAGGTTGTAATCGTAGCCCTCCTTGACAATTCGACATCACCACGATATTTTTAGTGGAACAATACCCAAACATTGTGGATAGCATAATCGCCACCGTCCACCCCACGCATTAACGACTAGCGTCGTCTGGACCGGCCAAACAAGCATTCCGACTCCTCCCCCCTCCCCCCCCTTCAGTTTTCCACAATACAATCGCCATCAAGCTATTTGCAACCACTGGGCATACAAAATAAAGACAGGCTTTCCTTCTCGGGATGAAAGGAGGGGAAGACTGGGCAGAGTTCATCGAAATCTCTAAGGCCTGATTGTCGGGAGTGGGAGGGATGTGGATAGTGTAGATCACGAACTCCATGTCGTTGCCGATGTCGCTGTCAAATTAGAGAGAGTTGCTGAACTGGTGGATCGCTGGGGAGCAATCGGTCGCGGGCAAGTTGTTGTTCGCCATTGTTATCTCAATTTCGAGGAAGTTTGGGTGAATATGGGGAGGAATAGGGAAAATGGAGGAAAGAAAGATTATGGGGGTGGTTGAATTTTTTTTGTCATAGAAGAGCAAAGCAGAATCGGTGAGGTTGTAATCATAGCCCGCCTTGACAATTCGACCCACGGAGCACACCCAAAGTGCAAACACGATCAAGAACACAACATCGCCACAGTATTTTCAGTGGAACAATACCAAACATTGTGGATAGCAGAATCGCCAGCGTCCTCCCCACGCATTTACGACCAACATCGTCTGGACCGACCAAACAAGCATTTAGACTCCTCCCCCCCCCCCCTCAGTATTCCACAATACAATCGCCATCAAGCTATTTGCAACCACTGGGCATACAAAATAAACACTTGCTTTCTCCTCGGGATGAAATGAGGGGAAGACTGGGAAGAGGTCATCGAAATCTCTAAAAGCTGATTGTCGGGAGTGGGAGGGATGTGGATAGTGTAGGTTGCGAACTACATGTCGTTTCCGATGTCGCTGTCGAAGTCGTGAGAGTTGCTGAACTGGTGGATCCCTGGTGAGGAATCGGTCGCGGGCAAGTTGTTGTTCGCCATTGTTACCTCAATTTCGAGGAAGTTTGGGTGAATATGGGGAGGAATAGGGAAAATGGAGGAAATAAAGATTATGGGGGTGGTTGAATTTTTTTTGTCATAAAAGAGCAATGCAGCATCGATGAGGTTGTAATCGTAGCCTGTTTGCTCAATTTGACTCATGGAGCACACCCAAAGTGCAAACACGATCAAGAACCACAACATCGCCACCGTATTTTCAGTGGAACAATACCAAAACATTGTGGATAGCACAATCGCCAGGGTCCACCCCACGCACTTACGACCAACGTCGTCTGGACCGGCCAAACAAACATTCTGACTTCTCCCCCACCCTCAGTTTTCCACAATACAATCGCCATCAACCTATTTGCAACCATTGACCATAAAAAATAAATGCATGCTTTCCTTCTCGGGATGAAAGGAGGGGAAGACTGGGCAGAGTTCATCGAAATCTCTAAGGCCTGATTGTCGGGAGTGGGAGGGATGTGGATAGTGTAGGTCACGAAATCCATGTCGTTGCCGATGTGGCCGTCAAATTAGTGAGAGTTGCTGAACTGGTGGATCGCTGGGGAGGAATCGGTCGTGGGCAAGTTGTTGTTCGCCATTGTTATCTCAATTTCGAGAAAGTTTGGGTGAATATGGGGAGAAATAGGGAAAATGGAGGAAAGAAAGATTATGGGGGTGGTTGAATTTTTTTTGTCATAGAAGAGCAAAGCAGCATCAGTGAGGTTGTAATCGTAGCCCGCCTTGACAATTCGACCCATGGAACACACCCAAAGTGCAAACACGATCAAGAACACAACATCGCCACAGTATTTTCAGTGGAACAATACCCAAACATTGTGGATAGCACAATCGCCAGCGTCCACCCCACGCATTTACGACCAACATCGTCTGGACCGACCAAACAAGCATTTAGACTCCTCCCCCCCCCCTCAGTATTCCACAATACAATCGCCATCAAGCTATTTGCAACCATTGGGCATACAAAATAAACACATGCTCTTCTCCTCGGGATGAAATGAGGGGAAGACTGGGCAGAGGTCATCGAAATCTCTAAAAGCTGATTGTCGGGAGTGGGAGGGATGTGGATAGTGTAGGTTACGAACTACATGTCGTTTACGATGTTGCTGTCGAAGTCGTGAGAGTTGTCGAACTGGTGGATCCCTGGCGAGGAATCGGTCGTGGGCAAGTTGTTGTTCGCCATTGTTACCTCAATTTCGAGGAAGTTTGGGTGAATATGGGGAGGAATAGGGAAAATGGAGGAAAGAAAGATCATGGGGGTGGTTGAATTTTTTTTTTGTCATAGAAGAGCAATGCAGCATCGGTGAGGTTGTAATAATAGCCTGTTTGCACAATTCGACTCATGGAGCACACCCAAAGTGCAAACACGATCAAGAACCACAACATCGCCACCGTATTTTCAGTGGAACAATTCCCAAACATTGTGGATAGCACAATCGCCAGCGGCCACCCCACGCACTTACGACCAACGTCGTCTGGACCGGCCAAACAAACATTCCGACTTCTCCCCCACCCTCAGTTTTCCACAATACAATCGCCATCAAGCTCTTTGCAACCACTGACCATACAAAATAAATGAATGCTTTTCTTATCGGGATGAAAGGGGGGGAAGACCGGGCAGAGTTCATCGAAATCTCTAAGGTCTGATTGTCGGGAGTGGGAGGGATGTGGTTTGTGTAGGTCGCGAACTCCATTATGTTGTCGATGTCGCTGTCGAAGCCGTGAGAGTTGCTGAACTGGTGGATTGCTGGGGAGGAATTGGTCGTGGGCAAGTTTTTGTTCGCCATTGTTACCTCAATTTCGAGGAAGTTTGGGTGAATATGGAGAAGAAGAGGGAAAATGAGGGAAAGAATGATTATGGGGTTGGTTGAATTTTTTTTATTTATCATAGAAGAGCAATGCAGCATCGGTCAGGTTGTAATCGTAGCCCGCCATGACAATTCAAATCATGGTGCGCACCCAAAGTGCAAACACGATCAAGAACCACAACATCGCCACGATATTTTCAGTGGAACAATACCCAAACATTGTGGATAGCACAATCGCTAGCGTCCACCCCACGCATTTAGGACCAATGTCATCTGGACCCGCCAAACAAGCATTCCGACTCCTCCCCCAGTCCCCCCAGTTTTCACAATACAATCGCCATCAAGCTATTTGCAACCACTGGCCATACAAAATAAAATCATGTTTTTCTTCTCGGAATGAAAAGAGGGGAAGACTGGGCAGAGTTCATCGTAATTTCTAAGGACTGATTGTCCGGAGTGGGGGGGATATGGATAGTGTAGGTCGCGAACTCCATGTCGTTGCTATTGTAGCTGTCGGTCGTGAGAGTTGGTGAACTGGTGGATCACTGGGGAGGAATCTGTCGCGGACAAGTTGT